GCGTTCGCCGTCGTCCTCACCCCCGCCTCGTGGACCTTCGATTGGGGACCGCCCTTTAACTCCGCCACGCCCCAACATCCCTTCCCCAAAGCCCACTCCAGGTTCGGCTGGAACATTGGACCACTTCCTCATTAGAAAGGTGATTCCATTTCTTTCCATTGTTTAATTACTTCTCATTTTCTTGTTTCCAGGCTCCACTGCAATCGGTTTCGGATCCCTTGGTCAGTCATCCGGCCTTTGACCACCTCAACCACCGCCTAACCGAGTTGAAGCAGCGCAACGCTTTGCCTGTGTCGTACGCACGCCGCCCTCCCTCACCACCTCCAGCTCCTGAGCAACCTCTTTCACCCCAGCGTCCTCCTTCACCCATTGGAGTTGCTGCACGTCGCCGCTTCCATAGACAAGCCACAGAGCATCGACCTGTGGGGGAGTGGTGGCAGCTGCCTAGATATCCAGAAAGTGATGACGAGTTGCTTCTGAAACCAGGCAGTGTTCTCATTGTGGCACATCAGGGCAATCCTGGCAGTCATAAACTGCAAAAAGTCAATGTTGCTTCTGTGCAGTTTGCTCAATCTGCTGTTCAGTCTGGCAATCCTCGCTCCTATCATAAGGCACTCCGGCACACAGATGTGCATCTTTAGCAGGATGCAGCTGTCTCAGAGATCAACTCTCTTGTAGAGAACTGCACTTAGGATGTTGTTGATGCACCTCCTGGTGTCAAACTAATTCGCTCCCAGTGGGTCTTTGTGAGCAAGCACAGGTCCGATGGCTCCAATGAGCGTTACAAACCCCGACTTGTTGCTGATGGTTGTGGCCAGTGCCATGGCATTGATTACAATGAAATCTTCTCCCCCACCTTCAAATCTGCTACCCTCCGCACCATCCCGGCTCTTGCTGCTCAGCACGATCTCAAGCTTCGTTCCATTGACTTCTCCTCTGCTTACCCGAATGGAGATCTGGAGGAGGATGTCTATATGACTCAGCCAGAAGAATTTCCTCAGGGAGAGCGTAGCCAGCTTCTCAAACTGCGCAAGTCCATCTATGGACTGAAGCAGGCTGGCAGGCAGTGGAACAAGAAGCTGAATGCAAAGCTCCTCTCTATGGGCTTCTCTTGTCTCCAGTCTGATTGTTCGTGCTACATCTACTCCAATGGCACAGTGCACATCATCCTTCCCATCTATGTTCATGATGGCATGATCTATGCAAAGGATGATGCTGAAATTGACAAAGTGATCGCTCAGCTTGGCTCTTCATTGAAAGTCAAGGATCTTGGTCCCACAGAATGGCTGTTGGGTATTAAAATTGAGCGTGACTCTGCCACTGGAGATATTCATATTTTGCAGTATGCTGTGAACATGCTTGAGCAGTACAACATGTCGGATTGCAAGCCTGTCAGCACTCCTATGCTTCCTGGTGTTACATTGACCAAGGAGATGGGTGCTAAGACTGAGGAGGAAGCCAAGCAGTACTGTAGCATCTACTTCTCTGCTGTTGGCTCTCTGATGTATCTGGCTACCCAAACTCGCCTGGACATCCTACACTGTTGGAGTGCTTGCATGCTTCAATAGTAATCCGGGAGAAGCTTGGAAGGCTGTAAAGCATTTGTTCCGCTACATCAGAGGGAGTCTTGACTTCTGCATCACCTACTTCAAATCCTCTCCTTCACCTCATCGTTTTGTTACATACACCGATGCAGATCATGGTGGCTGTCCAGACTGGCAAAAGCACTGGAGGATATTTGGTGATGATGGCTGGCGGTCCAGTGAGCTGGAGGAGCAAGCTGCAGACCACAGTCTCTCTTTCCACCACTGAAGCTGAATACATTGCTGGTGTGGATGCTGGAAAGGAGATCAAGTGGATGCGGAATCTGCTGTTTGAACTAGGATATAGAGTGTCTGGTGCATCTCCACTCCTCATGGACAACCAGTCTGCTATTTAGGTGTCCAAGAATCCTGAGCACCATGGTCGCATGAAACACCTTGACCTAGCTCATTACTGGCTTAGGGATGAAGTGGCCAAGGGCTCTATTGGAGTTGAATATGTCCCGGGGGAGTGTTGGAATCAGTGATTGGACTGTGACATTCTCACACCTTTAGTTAGTTACTTAATGGACTCATTTCAATGCTGTAGTTATTTCTGTGCACACAGCCATACTGCTGTATGCATTCTTATCAACACAGCCTTACTGCTGTTGTGCTGTTGTGCTCTTACAGCCTTACTGCTGTATGCACTGCTTCTAGGCTATACATATATAAGTAGGCTAGTATTGACCTGGGTCTTCAGTTTCTCACTGTTGACTTCAGGCAAGTAGCTAGTCCCCATTCTCTCACTCATGAATAGAGTTTCTCACTGTTGACTTCAGTCCATTGTGCTTGCCTGTTCAACAACAACTAGATTGTCTCTGTTCTTGGCTGCATGCTTGATCCGACCCATGATATTGTCGCTGATAGCGCTGGTGTCATGGTGATGAACTCGGAAAATTTCAGGCTTTAGCAGAACCATGTTCTCATTGTCTTTCTCCCCCTTCTCATGACCTGCTCGTCTCGAGAGGTAGTCTGCTTTAGCCATTGCCTTGCCTGGTTTGTGAAGTGGTACTCCTGCAAGTCTGCTACCCACCGCGCCTGGTGTCTGTCTAGCTTCTGGGGCTTCCTGAAGTATTCGAGATTTTTGTGGTCTGTCCAGATCTCAAAGTCCTCCGACGCTCCAAGCAGATACTGGCGGCACTCTGACAAGGCATGCCTTGGTATAACCAGGACCGGCGCAGTGGTAATCCGATGCTTTAACTCTGCAAATGCCTCCTCTTCCACTGCACTCCACCGCCACACCCCGTTTCCAGTGAGAGCAGACAGCGGCTTGGCTATATTGGAGAAGCCTTCAAATAAACCGGCGATAGAAATTCTTGAATCCAAGGAATTGCTGGACATCTGCTTGTTCATACATGCATTTTGTGTGCTTTAAGAACAGCTTGTTTGAACACAACTTCTGTAGGACCTTCCAGACCATGATCTCATGTTCCTCCAATGTTTTAGTGAAGATTAGGATATCATCGAGGTAGATAATGACTTTTCCACCGTCAATCTCTTCTTTGAAAATGGTGTTCATCATTGTCTGAAATGTAGCCAGTGAATTGGTCAAGCCAAAGAACATAACCAGAGGCTCAAACAGCCCTCTGTTAGTTCGGAATGCTGCCTTCCACTCTTGATCCTGACATTATTGAATGATTCCCCAACGAACATCCAGCTTGGTGAAATAGCGAGCATGTGTGAGTTTGTCCACCAACTCCTGGATAAGCGGAAGAGGATAGCGGTTCTTAACCATCATATCATTCAGCTTTCGGTAGTCCTGTATAGGTCGACGAGTTCCATCCTTCTTCTTGACAAAGAAGAACGGTGAGGCCATCGGTGACTTGGACGGTCTGATACGTCTGATACGTCCTGTCTTCAAGTTCTCATCAAGAAATTTGTTGAGCTGCTTCTGTTCATCTATCCACTCAGTCTAGACTCTTGGCATCTGGCAACAACTCAATAGCGTGGTCCCAATGCCTAGAAGGCGGCATCTCATCGAAGTTCTCTTTGTCAAACAAGTCCCTGAAGTCATGTACTTGTGAGGCACTGCTTCCTCAAAGGATTTGGTCTTTTCCTTCTTGGATTGCTCTTCAGACACTTTGCCAGCTTTGGGCTGAAAAGCGCGGATTTGCAGCTCCTCACTGAAGTCAACCATGAGAAGATGATCACCCTCTTGAATCTCAGGATCTACCAGTTCTGGGTCATCAGACTCAGGATCCACCCACCCCCCTAGCGGTTCACATCGAACTGGATAACGGTCAAACTTGAGAGTGCTCTTTGCCCAATCACTGGATGGATTGTGCAATTTGAGCCAGCACTCAGTCAGCACTTAGTAAGTGTAACTAAGTATAGTGTCTACTCTGATCTACAGTGCAGATGGTCATGGATAAGGTCAAGGACAGCCAGGACAAAGTCTGATCAGTGCAGATAAGCTCAGATCAAGTCCGATCAGATTAGATAAGAAATCTGTTCATGACAACGTTGTAATCATTGCATAAATTGTATATGCTAACACACACTCTTCTCATGACCATCATGACCATTTAAAGGGATGCCCAGCTGGCACCCTGTACTATCTTCGCAAGAACATCGGACATGTCTGCAAGATGTACAGTGTCTGCCAGGAGATACCTGCTTTTCACCACCACAATCTTTCACACGACCTGTGCCAAGACGTGCTCATCATGCCACACCCTGCACTCACATGCCATTGCTTCATTGTGCCCTTCCTCCCCCATGCTATCCAGAACACTGTACCCTCTATGCATGCGGATGAGCCCCATGATCCTAGGCAATACATACTCCTCACACCCACCTTCCCCATCAACAAGACCTTCGTGTTGCACTTTGGCCTCAAGGCATTGTTGAAACACAACAACCTTTGAGTATCCTACTATTGACTGTCAGACACACTGGCCAATACACTTTAGAAGTGCAGAGAAAGCCAAGGTCTTATTCAAGCTCAGAGAGGAGGAGAGGAGATGAGAGGATGGAATGAGCACTGTATTGCTAGTGGAGATATGACCCGCTCAACACTGGGGAACTACAGCTACAACAGGCTGTACATATACTACTACAAGTGCAATAGATGGTGCAATAACAATGCAATGGATCAGTAAGCTATCAGTCAGCATGGGAAAGATATGTAAGAGATCTGTAAGCTTCATGGGAAAGATGAGTAAGATCTCAGTCAGCGCTCAGTAAGTGTAACTAAATATAGTGTCTACTCTGATCTACAGTGCAGATGGTCATGGATAAGGTCAAGGACAGCCAGGACAAAGTCCGATCAGATCAGATAAGCTCAGATAAGCTCAGATCAAGTCCGATCAGATTAGATAAGAAATCTGTTCATGACATTGATCCCCAAGAAATTGGCCTTGATAAAGAAGGAATGCCACCCTGTTGCAATATGGATGTTGTTCCTTGCACACTATTGGCAGAATAGGTCAGTTGGTTTAAGAGCATCTCACATGATATGAGAAGGTCCCGGGTTCAATCCCCAGTTCAGCCATTTTTCCCAACACACCCCATCCCTGCTTTCACAATGGCCAACCAGCCTTGGGAGATGTTAGTGCCTGGAACCGCTGTCAAGTGCATAGGAGAACTAGTGGGGGATTGGGAAACCACACACCATGTAGAACAATGAGGAAAGGGGGTGTACAATAAGGCTCCAACCATTTCCGTTTACAAACATTTAAAAACAGTAAAAACCGTTTCCATTTCCATTTGGTGTGCCGGTGGAGGCAAACAATAAATAAACTGTTTATAAATGGTTTAAACTATTGTTTCTCTGGGCCTGGTTGGTCAGGAGAGGTGTGGATTTGTGTTGGATTACGAAGTGTGAATCAAGGGTGAATGTAATTTGTTGGAATCAGTGATTGGACTGTGCCATTCTCGTACTTTGACATTGATCTGATAGCTATCTTATTGTGTTGATACAGATCCTATTGTTCTGATACTTACTTTATTGTTGTGATACAGATCTTATTGTGTTGATACACATCTTATTGTTCTATTGTTCTTATTGTTCTAGCACATATATATAAGTAGGCTAGTGTAGACCTGAGTCCTCAGTTTCTCACTGTTGACTTCAGGCAAGTAGCTAGTCTACATTCTCTCTCTCATGAATTGAGTTTCTCACTGTTGACTTCAGTCCATTGTGCTTGCCTGTTTAACACATCCTCATTGCTTTCATTGTGATCAATAATGGCCAGCCACAATGGTTGTTTAAATGCCATCACTGCAACCAGTAACCATGTCTAATCACCCCCGTTATCGTTCAGTTGCTGATATGTGTGCCAGATGCTTAACCTTATGGTCAGCAAGAACCAGCTATTTGGGGATGAGAAACCCACACCAGCAATTGGCAATCTCACTACACATCTCAAGGACAACCATAAAGGTGTACCCCTGCTGTCTGATGTGATGCCAGGGAGAATCTGTGAAGCATCGGTGCTGTCTGGCAGCATCATGAAGGACTTTATCCTTGAAGGCAAGCTCAACCCGGTCATTAACTCGATGCAGGCAAATTTTTTGAAAATATTCACCATGTGGATGTTCAAAGATGATCTTCCCTTCACAATGGGCAAGACACCCAGTATCCAATGCTTGTTCACCTTCCTTCATACACGCTCCCAGTTGCCCAGTGACACAACTGTATGCAACACTTTAGCAGAACTTTGCATCAACATGTATAAGCTCATCAAGTCCAAGCTCGTGGCAAGTACTTCTTTTTATATTTATTATACCTTGATCTAACGGGAGTCTAGGACATCAAATCCAAAATTACAGCATCAACTAATACATGGACAACATGCTCAATGACATTCACGTTTGCTGGGACAATCAGGAGCTGGATAACGTCGGACTGGGAGCTAGTGGAGCAAATGCTTGACTTCCCTGCGATTGAAGACAAGGAGCATGAGGGAGAGTACGTTACCCTTGGTCTCACAAAAAGACTGGCTGACCTCCAGACACTGGAAAAGATGAGTGCATCGTTTCTTTTAGTGGTAAAGTTGTATGGTGAGGAGTTGGCTCCATCAGGCAGGGAGAAAGCAACACTTATGGTTGTCCGTGATGTCAGGCATCGCTGGAATTATACTCACAAAATGATTAAACATGGATGGCTGATGCGAAAGGTGAGCATCCCACCCTCTCTAAATCTACTCTCGTAAACTGTGGCAGGCCATCAATATTTAGGTACGCGAGTGGGAAGTGTTAAACAGGCAAGCACAATGGACTGAAGTCAACAGTGAGAAACTCTATTCATGAGTGAGAGAATGTGGACTACTTACTTGCCTGAAGTCAACAGTGAGAAACTGAGGACTCAGGTCTACACTAGCCTACTTATATATGTGCTAGAACAATAAGCAACAGTAGAACAATAAGAACAATAGAACAATAAGATCTGTACCAACACAATAAGATAAGTATCACAACAATAGGATCTGTATCAACACAATAAGATAGCTATCAGATCAATGTCAAAGTGCGCGCTGATTCCAACAAGAAGAACTCTGACCGCTTTGGCTCAAAAATGAGGAGTGGAAGCTTCTTGAAGCTCTTGGTGATATGCTCAAGGTTTGAGTTTTATTAATGATTCTCCGTGCAACTTTAACCATTCGTCAGCTGTTCACAAAGGTCACATTGCAGATGTCGTGCTTGAGCACACCCATGTTGCCTTGGGTTCTTCCCATGTACAAGGGAATGCTCAAGCACCTCCAGACGTCTCAAGACAACAAGGAATTGCCCAATTCCCTTCACAACACTGTGACTGCTGGCCTGATAAAGCTGGAAACATACTTTTTGAAGGCCTGGTGCCAGCTCAATATTATCATGGCATGTATGTGTCTATTCCTCCTGATATTTCCTTGGTCGTTTCTTGATGTGCTGGTAGTACTTCACCCATCCTTGGTATTTCGTGGTTTTGCTAAATGGACCTGGAGGACCCATCAGTTATCCTCACTGTGGCAAAGGCAATGGTAGTATTTGAACGTGCTTACAAGTTGTATCACACAAGCAAGGAGTTGAGCCAGCCACTAACACCTGCGGGTCACTCCCAGCCCAGCACATCTGGCTCCTTCCTGGATGATATATGCATGGTCGATGTGGCTGATGTCACAGTGCCCCAAATCACAGTGAGCGAGCTGCAGCGGTTTTGGGATGCATTCAACAGCTATGTGGGCAACCACAATTCCCTGCTGACATGGTGGAAGGTGAGTGGAGGGAAAATTCTGTCTACACAAATACTGATCAGTTGTTTTCGGCATATTAGGAGCATGAATTCGAGTTCCCCATGGTCTCAAAGATAATACGTGACTTTCTTACCATTCCTGATACCAGTGTCTCCATCAAGTGCTTGTTCTCAAGCACGCACCATCTCTGCCACAAATCTCGTGGATCATTGAAATCAGGTACAATTGCGCAGGTGATGCTCACCAAATTGTGGTTAAAAGAAGGGCTTCTCAAAAGGGCAGCATTGGCATGTGGCAGAGGCTAGTTGTTGAAATTCTTGTTACTCCATTTCCTGTCCGGAAAATACCATTTATAAACTGTTTGGTTACTGTTTCCGTTTGGTTTGCCAGAATCCACAAATGAAACCAAATGGTTGGAGCCTTAGTGTACAACCTCTGGATTAAAAACGACAAAAGGCGGAAAGCCTGGATACGTGTAGATGAACATGCACAAGGGCCTGGGGTGATGTACCAAATGAAGTGGGTGTGCAAGACAGCTTGCACTCTCTTCGCTTCCCCTGACCCGTCCTTGATTGATGCTCCACTTTTTTACTACTGAATGCTTCTGGCCTGCAGGGTTCCTGTCAACTTAATCATGTCAAATTTCTTATGTGACCTGTACTACCCACCACAACATTCAATCAACAAGTTGTTGCATATACATTGGTGACTGGGGACAGTCAAGTTTTATCAGTCTGCCATGGATGTCATATGTGAAGTTCAGAGTTCAACAGGGTTAGTTCGCAGTCACCACAGTAAGGTAAGGGTGTGTGTTGAGACGGCGGGTCTGCGCCTAGGAGTGTAAACCAGCTATTTTGTCGCTCCTAGGAATGGCTTACCTTCCTAGGAAGACCTATAAGGGAACAGTCACCCTTCCTAGGAACCCTGTTCGGTTATATACAATAAGAGTCAGAGTGAGCAACGAGCTGCTGATTGAGTGTTAATGATACGAGAGGTCTGGAATAGTGTATGTTCGTGGGATCCTTGGCTCTTCATGGGAGTCGGGATCGCTGTCATATCCTAGGAAGCACCGTCTGATTCAGTCCACAACCTATATGTAGGGGCGGATTGTGCGGCAGAGTTAGACACCATACCAAGGAGATATACCAAAGTCCAAGACAGACAACAGGGTATATCTCTGCAACCCAACAACTGCACAGTTGAGGTTTGGAACTTGTATTACGAACCTAGGAAGGCACTTGCTTCCTAGGAACAGTATACTGTATGAGCTATCACTTTCCTAGGAACAGTTGATGAAGGTACATATAGGCCTCCTAGGAAGGAGATACTTTCCTAGGAACAGTAATGATGAATATAAGCACGGAACAAGTCTTCCTAGGAAGGCTGGCTCCCCTGAAGCACAAATCACAATGTTTGAACACATATGACCTGGCTATGGGTCTAGACCACACGTGACACACGCATCACGTTGTTGAACAGGCAAGCACAATGGACTGAAGTCAACAGTGAGAAACTCTATTCATGAGTGAGAGAATGTGGACTAGTTACTTGCCTGAAGTCAACAGTGAGAAACTCAAGACCCAGGTTGATACTAGCCTACTTATATATGTTTAAGATGTATAGCCTAGAAGCAGTGCATACAGCAGTAAGGCTGTAAGAGCACAACAGCACAACAGCAGTAAGGCTGTGTGCATAGGAATATATACAGCAGTAAGGCTGTGTTGATAAGAATGCATACAGCAGTATGGCTGTGTGCACAGGAATAGCTACAGCATTGAAATAAGTCCATTAAGTAACTAACTAAAGGTGCGAGAATGTCACAGTCCAATCACTGATTCCAACACACGTTGCAAAGGCAAATACAAAGACAAAGCAACCGTATTTGAAATACATGTGGAAGCTGGTTTAGGAGAAACATATACCCAGGTGTGTTGCGTGGCTGGATGGCCCCACGGCATACCTTAGCTCAACGAAATGACCCAAGGCTTGGTGTTCACCAACCAAGCCACCTCAAAACGTCTTCACAGCAGGATACACATTGGCACGGCCGTTCAGGAAGACTCGGATGGTTCCTAGGAATCATCTTGATGACTGTTTCGGCAGTTTCAGCGACAAATCATGGCAGCATAGCCTGCCGTCTCTCCGAATTTCCAATACTCCTCACTCAGTTACTCATTTCATATTATTTCTGTTTACTTACTCATATCTCACTGTCATGTATTCTCAAAGTAGTATAAAACCTGCGGTTCAGGGGCATATCACACCCCAGTATTGCCTAGACTTTGGTCGCAGCATTGCTTGTCAAGGCATTGGTAGA